TTTTACACTCCATCCATTAACCTACTTATCCAACTAACTATCTACACAATACATATATTCAAATATCCGATTTAAAAAAAGCACACCTTGGCAGACCATAGGAATAAACCACACACACGCGCACACACACACACACAATACACGCGCGCGCGGCTTGTATAACACTGAAATAAATATCCATAAAGGTATAAAAATATAAAGATAGATAAATAGATAGATAGATAAGATAGGTAGATAGACAGATATACAAGCGGATACATATTACCAACAATACTTTGATTCCATTTTAATTCTATTCAGACAGACACCAAAACCACCACTGACCAAATACTTCAAGTCGATTCATAATTACAGTCATAAGATACCCCATCATGTTAAGCATTGAGATTATGCCTAAGCATTCAAACACCATGTCATAAATATAACATTACAACACTTCTGGCTGGCACTCTTTGAGATATTCATTACAATAGATCCATAAATATACATAGTATCATTAGCATTCCTTTATAAATACAATGGATTACACATTGTGAGTGCAGTTAAATAACAGATAAGTAAAGCTTAATAATTGTAGTAAGTATAGTTTATCCTTAATTACAATTTATTATGCAGTTAAACTAATTCCTCATAACGAATGCATTCTTTCATAGAACTAACCCAAACAGACTTTATTCAATGAGCAAACAAAGTGGATTAAATATAGGACTCACCAAGTTAAGAAGTTACATACATAAAGATGTATGCTGGTTAAATAGATTGATAACTAGCTTAATCCTACCATGCATTGTGTTGCATCATATAGATTTATCAGTGATCCAATAAACAAATATATTAGGCAAGCATACATGTGAGGGGGAGTAAATATATACAAGTAAGAAGATCTATAATCTTTGAAGATCTTTAATCAATATAAATAAACTTATAGTAATAATAATAATAATAACAATAGGGCGGAGGGTACCTATGTCCCCGGGTGACAAAATGAATCATATGTTATAATTTGTATATTTATGTTTTTATCTTTAAGCACAATTTGAATTGTTTTTGTAAACAGTAATTTTTACAATGTTAACATAATAAAAAATGTGATTAAACAAGGAGAGAGGGTGGGGGGGCGCCGATTTTATAGTTTGTCCCCCGGGCACAAAATACCTTTGCTACGCATCTGATAATAATAACATAGATTTAGTACAGATAAACAAAACAAGCACGGAAAAATTGATACAGATATTGAATAAGGGCAGAATGCATTCAATGAATCAATAGATTCTTAGATAAATATATACACACAGATTAAACTAATAATAATAAAAAAGACATCCATTTATCCATTAATCCTCTTTATTCCTTTCTTCCTTACTTTCATTCTAACATTTTGCACTTGCAACATACTTTGCAATGTACATAGAATTGTATCTTTTGTTTGTTTGCAGTAGAAATGCAAATCTTGAAAATCCACTATCTCATTATACTCATCATTACCCACTTCATCATCATCCTCCATAGTGGCCATCATCATATTCATATAATTTATAATTACTATTCTGGTTTTATTAGTACCATCATGGTTCAAACTACCACCATGTGTCTTAAAATTGATACTCTACTAACAATCATTGCAGTAACTTGAGTACAAGAAGATGGAAGACATCAACATTACAACCTGTAAGCAGAAACAATAAAAATAACCTTCATTGATCATTAAAACTCTGATGATGATGATGATAATGATGATGAGAATGATGATGATGATGAGAATGATGAAAATGATGATGAGTTAAGTTGTGTAAGGTCAAGCAAGGCAGCCTAGCATTTAAGAAACTTCAAAACAAGAAAGGAAGAGAGAATATGATGTGATGGTTCATGGGAGAGGACAGACAGACAGTGAGCACTTGAATGATGCTAATCACCATGTCACAGATAATGAAAAAGATCTGCTGATATGGTGATAACGACGATGATAACGAAAATTATGATAGAGCAGATGACAGGATTGTAAAAATATCATGAGTATGTAGATGGTGAAGGTAATGGAATGATAGCAAAGATGATACAAATGATGGAAAGACGGATGGTGAAGGTAATGGAATGATAGCAAGGATGATACAATGATGGAAAGACAAAACGACAGCCACAAAGACAAATTGTAAAAGTAACGATGATGACAATGAATGATGATGATGTTGAAGAAGACAATGATGATGATTGTGATCTTAAAAGATGGAAACAGTAGATAAGAACGAAAGATGTACTGCATTATTATTTGATATATTCCACTACCCTATTTACATTTGTTGCACACTAACACACGTACACACACACACGTACACACACACACGCGCACGCACACAGTGCAGTGACTACACTAAGGATGATCATCATCACCATCACAAGAATTTCGATATTATTGATGAGAGGATGATGACACTGATAAAAAGAGAGATACAACAATTGATAAAACACATACACACGTACACACACACACACGCACACATACATGTACACATAACTACTTTCAGATTATTTTTAAGGTTAATAAGTGAATAAGATAGAACAATGGATGTTCATTGCACTGTTGACCCCTCAAGGGACAAGGATGAAACAAATATAATAAATTCACAAAATATATAATATAAATATTTAAATATTATTATAACATAATATAAAAGTACATATTTATTTATCATAACATATTATAATATAATTCATACCATTTAAATATATAAATATATATATATATACATACATATATACATAAGCATATTATGAATAAATAGTAAAAATCCAACCCTGTAAATTTTTATCTACACAGACTTATCTATGTTCAAATAACTCAGTTTAAAGGATGAATGTCAAATTCAAAGAACTAAAAACTGTAGAGTATTCCAACTATGCACACATGCACACACGGACACACACAGAGAGAAACAGACATACAAACATACACCATGGATATTACCAAGCATTGCATAGAATGTGTAACAGATGATGAAAAAGATGACAGATGAATGATGATGTTAAAATGTATGATTACACAGATGATGACGTAAAACAGTAAAGAGACATATGTTCACGTGATAATAATGAAGATGAGAAGGCTATATATGATAGTTTCTACAAGAGTTTGTTTGTACTTGCACAAATGTATACATGTACATTACGATACAATAGAATAGGGTGTTACATATTGTATATATGTATTTTCTGCATGTGTGTGTGTGTGTGTATACATATAATATATATATATATATATATATATATATATATATTTAATGTAGTTGTAATGTCAACTAAAAATAGAAGCAATCCTACTTTGAAGTTATTTTGTATTAATTGCCAGTTTTAACTGCATCTGCCTGCATATCAGTTTTAATCCCATCAAAAATTACTACTACTACTACTACTACTAATAATAATAATAATAACAAAGTTTAAAGTGGTTCAGTAGACTAGCATCTGTATATATTTTTTAAGAATATACAAAAATACTACCTTTTACAATGACCAATGTTTTCAGAGATATATATGAAATTTATGACAACTTTAATTTCTCTGTAAAATTTATAACATATTTTAATGACAATCTTAAGTAATCCAATCACATATAGAATCATTTATTAAAAAATCTCCATTTTATAAATTAAATTTAATGGTAGCCATAAAATAACTGTGCAGTTGCTGTGAGGTGCACTTACTGCAATAATAATTAATTTGATAATTACAGTACCAAGAAACCAGACAGAGAGCAGGCAAAACAATTATTAAAAAAATTAAAAAAAAAAACATAAAAAACTGAGCTTGAAGAAGCTGCTACTTAGATTTGTAGTTAGGATAATTTAGTTAAGTTGAAGTTAAATTTAAAAAAAATATTATTTTAATTTAGATTTTAGTAGATATCAATAATAAATTACTAGATAGACAAAAAAATCAAAGAGATTTTTATAAAACTTTTACAACTTTCAACAGTCTTTATGTTTCTTATAGACAAAGAAGGGTACATTTATGTAAAAAATGAAGACTTAGGAATTTGGTTTTAAAAGTTAAGAAGAGCCAAGACCAAAAATTTAAAACATTTTGAATGAATACTAAATTATCAAATAAATGATAATAATATAAATATAATATATATAGGAAGACAAAACTTTATTCAAAAAGAGACTTAATCAACAATTCATTTGTTATTCCTCACTCAACACTTTCATTCATGATAAATAATCAACTATTCACTCCTCACTCCGTGACATCAGCACTCCTCCATGATGAATAATCAAACAAAAATTTTATTTTATTCATCAGACAACCCCACACCATACACTAGTTAGCATACATTTCAATTTCAATGAATAATCGCATACAATACACTAATCATGCCTAATTAGTGAACGTGGGCAACCAACCCAAAGATTACCTAAATTATTTAATTGAATGGCTAGGAAATTAGTTGTGAAATTGAAATTTTTTAAATTTTTTTAAAAAAGGAGTGAGCCAGGCAATCATCAATCATCTGTTACTGTTAGTTACCTGTTAAAGTCAGAACCGCCCCACTGACCATTACACTAATCCGATACTGAAAAATTAAATTAAAATGTTTTGACGAATTTAATAAAAATAATTTGATTTAAATAAAAAAATATTTAATGAAGAAATCAATAAATTATTCCATTTATCGACTAAAAAGGTAAAAGGTCGCGACCCATTAAAATCGTTTCGTACGCGGATATATAGAGCAGAACGCCATTGGTTGAATGTTGCATGGCCTAATTATAATTCAGGGATGTACTAAATAAAGTAGTTATTTACCGAGTCGGTCAAACAAAACCGAGTATTTTGTAACTAAACACAATTTAATTAAAATAAAAATTATTTTTGTTGTGTAAAAATATGTTGTTACAAAAAAATTTAATTGTACTTGTTTTAATAACCAAAGTTTTTATCAATTTTTACTCATTTTTTTTGCTTGTTAAATACACCTCCTTATTTGTAAACAAACCACTTCACTTTCGTTTGCCTGTCTAAATTGCTAAAAAAAAATCACTAGTTCGTCCGGACGTAACAAGCAGGGTAGGTGGATTCGTTAAATTAAATATTTACTATTTAAATTTTTCATATTTAAATTTTTGTTCAACTTTGGTTGAGTTGGTTTCGTTAAAAACTGATGTTTGTTGGATTGTATTCATTGTAATTATAATATATAATATATATTATATATTATATATTATAATTTATTATATTATATTGTTGTTTGAAGTTAGAAGTTAGAGAAGAAAAATTACTAAAAAAAGTAAAAAGTTTTTTTTATTAATTTCAAATGTTATTCAATAATATAATTTGTATTTATTTTTTTATATGAATAAATTTTAATTGAAATTTTTTGGAATAAATTGTTTAATAATAGTATTTTAATAATTATTACTATTATATTATAAAATTCAATTGATTAATGATTATTCTTATTTATTTTATTTATCATATATTAATATTAATTTTAAATGTTAATGACTTGACTAACTAAACGTTTAACCATAAATAAACACAATAAAATATATTTATATATACTAAACACATCACATCATGATCATATTATTATAAATAAAGTCATCAACTTAATTAGACATAAAACATAAGATAAAACAAACGCAAAAGAGAGTTTAACATTTTTTTTCAGCAGATGGAAATCTATATATTATATATATCAAATATGTTTTCATCTGAAATTTTTAATATAAATCATAACGTATAGTAGTCTAGAATAACAATAACTAATCTTATGTCATATTTTCAATTTGGTCTAGACTTCCCTATCTGGTCTAGACCAGATTAGCCAGACTCCTAGTAGATTGTGTCTTCTTTTTTTCCAGTCTGACAACAACATGGACATTTTAAAGCAAGAAATAGCAAAGAAAAAACAACTTCTTGAGAACAAGTCTTTACTGGTCAGTTGTGTTTCAGTTTTACTGATTACTTATATAATATTCATATTGCTATTTGTGTTTTTTGTGATAGCATTATTTTCTGACCTATTAATGAATAATTATTAAATATTATTATGAAATGATTCACTGAATGGTTTTTTTGTATGATTTAGGCCCCGAATAAGAAATATTTCAAAAGGTCGGAGCTGGTCGAGAAGGAGAGGGAGGAATACTGGCAGTCCAGCAAGCGGTCCAAGGTGGAAATTGATAAAGAGGTTTGTGGATGTAGTAGTAGTAGTAGTAGTAGTTGTTGTTATTGTTGTTGATGTTGTTGTCAATGAGATCGATATGAAGGTGTGTTGTTGTTGTGAATGAGATTGACAAGGAGGTATGTGGAAGCTGTTATTGGTTTTGTTGATATTTGTTGCCATTGTTATAGTGTTTGCTTTTGTTGTTGATGTTGTTTCAGTTGATGTTGTTATATCGGTTGATGTTGTTGTTTCGGTTGATGTTAATGTATGTTAATGTTGTGTTTGATGTATTTTGTTGATGATACTGTTTTTTAATAATAATAATAATTATGATGATGATGATATGTCATCATCACAAGCCTTCGCTAAGAATAATTAATTCAACGATAATGCAATACAATAGAGAGCCTCGATTTTGTGCTCCTTTGATGAGAATAGCCAGGGTTCAAATTCAAGCGATAACCCAGAGGAAGAAAAGAAGAAAGTTAATCTATCCAGGAAGGAGGTCAGTGTGTGTGTGTGTGTGAGTGTGTGTCTGTGTGTGTTTTTGTTTGTTTGTGTATGTATGTGTGTGTGTGGTTTTGTGTGTGTTTGTTTATGTGTTTAAGGTTTGCTTATGTGGAGGAAGGAGGTGTGTGTGTGTTTGTGCGTGTGTGTGTATCTTATTTTCATTGTTGTTCGCATAACGTTTGCAGTGAATAATTTGTCTTAGTGCATCTTCAAAAAGCGTTTTTTTTCTGACAAATTTCGTTACCCTAGAACAAGTTGAAGAAACAAAAGCACAACCACACTTAAAAAGTAATATATTAAACAAACAAACTTAAACCCATAAACTAACGAAAAATCAACCACACACATCTCTCTCCTGATTTATAATCAAACTTAGACACATAAACACACACTTAAACGCATAAACAGCCACACACACGAACACACACTTAAACGCATAAACAAACAGCCAAACACACGAACACACAAACACATAAACACACATAGCTTGCCAACAAATACTGGGTGACAACAATGAATATAATGTAAGATACACACACACACAAATATCGCCAACAAATACTGCATTATTCACTTTCCATGTCTGTGGTAGCAGTTTGGATTCCATTCCCTCAACAATTCAACTTCCGTTGTAATTAAACATAACATGGTGTGGTAGCGTTTGTATGGGATTCAAGCTGACAACGGATATCTTTCTAATGTATCTTAAATAGTCTTACTCTCGGGATGATTGAGGAGAGTTTGTTGAATGAATGATCGTTGGTGGATGGTTGTGGTCTGCTGTTTTGTTGTTGTTGTTTTGCATGCGTTTGCTACTGTTGTTGTTGTTGTTGTTCGTTTCTAGATTGTTGTTGCAATTTTGTGTTGGTTATACTATGCATTTCATCTTTATACGTAATGATGACCTCTACATCATCATGGTCACTGTCAAGGTCATTCGAAGGTTACGTGAGAGAGATGAACCAATCAGATTGTTCGGCGAGTCAGACTACGAATCGTTTCTGAGGTTGAGGAAGCTAGAAGTACTCGAACCGGAAGTTAACAAGGTTTGTGGTGTGGGGGTGTGATGATGTGGTTATGGGATTGCGTGTGTGTGCGTTTGGGTGTGTGTATGTGTGTGCGTGTGTGTGTGCGCGCGGTTTACCACTACCATCATCATCATTATTAATATCATCATCACTACCACCATCATCATCATCATTTATATCATCACATCACTACTACCACCATCATCATCATCATCATTTATATCATCTCAATCATCATCATCATATATATCATCACCGCTACCACCACCATCATCATCACCACCATACCAGGGTTTCAAAAACGACTTCCAAGACGCCATGGACAAGGTGGATGAAGACTATGTCAACGAGCTGCTCAAGTCGTCGTCAGATGGCTCCGAACAGATGGCATCACTCGGTGCTGACGTCAAGGTCGGTTTGTTGTTGTTGTTGCTGGTGATGTTTGTATTGTTGTTGTTGTTGCTGGTGGTGTTGTTGTTGTTGCTGTTGTTGTTGCTGATGGTGTTTGTATTGTTGCTGTTGTTGGTGATGTCTGTATTGTTGTTGTTGTTGCTGGTGGAGTTTGTATTATTGTTGTTGTTGTCGTTGCTGATGCTGGTGTTTGTATTGTTGTTGTTTTTGCTGTTGTTGTTGCTGGTGATGTTTGTATTGTTGTTGTTTTTTATGTTGTTGTTGCTATTGTTGATATTGCTGTCATTGTTGTTGTTGCTGGTGATGATGTTGTCGTTGTTGATGATGTTTTTGATGGTTGTTGTGTTGTTTATTGTTGTTGATATTCAACTATTGTTAAGCTAATGTTGCCTTTACCATGTTTTTTATTTTTGAAACTTGGGAATTGAGCCTGGTGCCTTTGTCATAACTAACAAACGCTTCGCCACTATGCTAATAATTTGTGCCACCATCAATTGAAGGTGAAAGACGACGGTACAACGTACGAAGAAGTCCTTGTGAGTTGAGGTTGCATGTTTGCACGCAAGTGTTTATGCCTCTGTCTGGCTGTCTGATTGTCTGTCTGTTTGTCTGTGTATATAATGCATATAGCTTTTCAATTTTTTTATGAGTTATTTTTATTCACAATTAATACGGCCAGAATAATTTGAGCGTGTATATTAGTAATTGAGATAAGTTCTAAATTGAGATAATTTATTAATAGATAAATAAATAATAATAATTATTATAATATTAGTATTATTTATTTGTCATTATTTTTATTATTATTGTTATTATTATTCGTTGTCATTTTCGTCGTGAATGCAGAAAATGTCAGAGGATTTCGGCAAGGGTAACGCGGCACTGGATTCTCAGGTCATGCTCAAGTTTCTCAAGGTTTCCAGTCTTCTCTACTCACAATTGTCATCACATTAGCGCGAAATTCGACTTCTTTAAACGTCTTTCATTGTGTCTATTTTTTTATCCCTTTTAAGAGTTTGGTTATTTTTATCATCTGCATCGCCGGCGTCATCATCATCTCATTTCTATTATCCTCTCCATCATCATTCCCCCTCCATCATCATCATTTCTATCTACAATCTTTTCCATCATTTCAATCATCATTACCATTTGCAGCGCCATCTTGCACCACCTCATCGCACTCATAACAAAGCCATCATCATCATCTTCCTCATCACCACCAGTTAGTACTGAACATATGGGGTGAGGAACTCAATAAGAGGCCACCAGAGGTCAAGAGAAGTCTTAAGGGTTCGTCGTCATCTACACCTACTCCTTCATTCTACGTTTTATTTCATTATTTATGTATTTTGAAAAATTTAAATAAATATTTTTTCTATCTAAGTTGGAATGTGTTTGTATGTATGTGTGTGTGTGTTTTTGTTTTTTTTGTGTGTGTATGTCTGTGTTTCTCTACTGTTGTGTGATATACAAACAACAACATATGGGCCTATCAGCTTATGTTTAGTTATCTATATATATATATATATATATATATATATATATATATATCTTGATATATGAGTATCATTTTTACTATCCATTGCAGTTTTATTACACCACCGCATGAATCATCTACCACCATCGTCACACTACCTTACCACCACCCCATGACTCTTCCACCACCACCTCCACCACCACCCAGGTAAGGTAGCCAGTGCCACTCACATGCAGACCGTCGCCTACATCAAACCTTTATTCAGGAAACTCAAAAAACAAGTCTCTAATTATTATCACTGTTGTTACTATCATTATTACCATTATTATTGTTATTATTATTATTATTATTGTTGTTGTTGTTATTATTATTTTAAGTTTATCTGTAAAGTAATTTTACTTGCAGTGGAATTCATACGCACGTCACATTTACAAATACTTTACAAGTACTCCTGCCATAGTAAAATACTTCGAAGTAGATACAGATTTTTTTTTTTTCCTCTGCAGACCGTCTCTGACGATATCTTCGCCTGCCTGGTCGACATCGTCAAGTTCATGATCGAGAGGCATTATTTGAAGGTGTAGTAGTAGTAGTAGTAGTAGTACTAGTAGTATTAGTTGTAGTAGTAATGCTGTTCTGGAATTTTTTTTGAATTAAATTTGATTACATCATTTAGAGTTATGTACGCTGGCTGAATTAAGTTTGTAATACGTCACATTTCGGTGAGTTAGCTCAGTCGGTAGAAGTGCCATGTCTGGCAATGTTATTACGCGATGGCCTTGTTCGAATGCTGTCTGACCGAAACACTCAGACGAAGTATTTATGTAGCTGTGGTGTGGATAGCAAGCAGAATCTTCGTGGCACAAAAACTTGGCTGTAAACATGGAATGATGTGTAAGCTGTTCTGCCTTCGTCAGAGCTGTATAGTAAAGACTATATTATGTTTGAATGCAGATTGATGTTCGTGTTTATCTACTTGGTTGTTGGTGTTTTTTCATTTTTCTTTCCACTTTATCCCCTTTCTCCATTCCTCTCCACGAAAATCATTCATTCAATCAATCATTTATTCATTCAATCAATCATTCATTCATTCAATTATTCATTAACCCACCAATCCATTCAATCGATCTTGAACCACCTCTAAAATCCGCATTATATTTTCTTTGCACCCAGGCCAACGAAGCCTACCTAGAAATGGCAATAGGGAACGCCCCGTGGCCCATCGGTGTGACCATGGTGGGTATCCACGCGCGTACTGGTAGGGAGAAAATTTTCGCTAAAAATGTTGCTCATGTACTGAATGATGAAACCCAACGAAAATACATCCAAGTTAGTTGCCGGCTGTTGTTTGTTGCTTGCTTTAACTTTTTTTTGAGTGCGGCGATTTTGCGAATTCGTATCAAAATTTGCTTCATTTGTCCAAAATGCTTGCTCAACCGTCATGTTTCATACCAACTAAGGACTCAGGTCTTAGTTTAGATTAGTTTTGTGCTCTGAAATAACTGGATTTCATATTCCTGCCAACAATGCCACTCAGCTATTTAAAATATTTCACATGTGTCTCAGTCGATGATAACTAGATGACAATAAATAAATCTTCCCATGCAGGCCTTGAAGAGATTGATGACGCAAGCACAGAAATATTTCCCGACCGACCCGTCAAAAAGTGTCAACTTCGAATCACAGACTAACAAACTTGCAGACTGAACAGAACATAACTGCAGTCACTTCGTTGATAGCTGCAATTTAGCGTTGTACATTATTGTAAATTGTCATTTGTTGAATACGTTGTTACATTACACTGTGCTCATTTGTGCACATTCTCGCATTATTATGTGTTTGTCCAATTTTAAAACTATATCTGATCAATCACTCTTCGTTTTGCGGCCAGAGACCCGGTTCCCCGAGGTAGGACATTGATCATTTTTTAAAGTTTTAATTTTTCTGTTAAAGTTTGAATCCACATTTAACGGGGGCATAGAAAGTTAGAGCAAGTTCAGAGAAGAGCGGCCAGAAGGTGCACACTAAAAAAACTTACCATACCATATCAGATAAAGTATGATTTGTTTAACGACACCAGGAAGAAGAAGGACCAGAGGTGATCTAATAGAAACGTATAAAATTGTAAATGGCACAGATATGTAAAAACTGATACCGATATTTATGTTTGACCCGAGAACAAGAGGACATAATGAAAGATTAAGAATGGAAAAAGAAAAATATAGAAAAAGTTTTTACAAATCGTATTAGTCAATAACTGGAATAACTTATCTCACGATGCAATTGATGCAGATTTAAATGTTTTTAAAAACTGTCTAGACACATTTATTGGATAAATATTTAACTTGCATCACAGTCTATTTTTATTGTTATTATGTTCATTAATCAACTCGACCAAAGTCAATAAATTTATGTGAACGTTTATTGAGATTTTTTCAATTTTATCTTCTGTGCATAGATAAATAATAAAATATGTAAATAGTTAAAATGGACGCAAAATGAAACATTGAAACACTTAACTGTGAAAAAACGAGACAAGTGACACACTCAACATCCTCTCAACTTGAACCTGCACCGCCACAAATGAGATCGCATGCTTTTTTATGCTTCTGCCAGTGGTTCACCTGGCACTCCCTCCTGCAGTACCACTCATTATGACATCTGGAACATTTCTTAGTGGAGGGCTCGCCACACAAAGCACACTTTGCTGGCTCCTCTATGAAGTTCTCAAGATTTTCAAAGCTGTATATTTCACTTAAATTTTTGGCCAATTTTTGGAAATTTTCGCTGGAGCTGCTAAAGTATTTGGATTCTTGATCTTTTGCTATGTTGGCCCACTTTCCACGGTACTTCTGTAGGTAGGTGTTTTTGATCTCAGGAAGTTGTTCAATTATCAAAGCACTTTTTGGAGGCTCAGGTTCAAAAATACTGAGTTGATCAAGAAATCTTTGTAGTTCAATGAGAACTGGCATCTGATCTAATATGAAGTCATTCAACATGGGCCTCAACTTCAACAGCGTGCTCTTCCTGTATGAGTTGAATTCGTAATTATTTCGAACCTTGGTGACCAGCAGTTGAAACAAACCAATCCACACCTGGCCCTCCACTTTTGAGATTTTATAAAATTCCTCGCCAGCAGCAGGACGCCACTCAGTCCCATCATGTTTCATGTGCTGCTTCATGTGAGTACACAGCCAGGGAGGATTCTCAAGCAGGTGGACGAATAATATCGGAACATCTAAATCGTTTAAAATTCTTTTAGTGGCTGATAGACTTATGACTTCCAGGTTTTCAATCATGAATCTCAGTATCGTGAGAGATTTCAAGGCAACCATGAAGTCAATTTTTTTGTTTTGTTTCATTAGCTCTTCAGATGTAGTCGTGTTGACTTCTTTGTATTTATCTTTTGACGCATCATTTTCTTTTCCTTCACAATAATGTCCAATACTTTGAAGTTTTGTCAGTTTGTTATAACAGTAATCAATAAGATCAAGAGATACCTCACTGACAGCTTCACATGAATTCTGGTGATACAAAACTGTTTCAAGCAAATTTACGACTGTAAGTTCGTGGTAGAGAATAAAATAAAATGGAAATGTTTGACCATTTTCATTCAAATTTTTCAAAAGTTTAGGAAAGACTTTAGCTTTCCATAGATCAATAATGATCAAATCAGCAACCAACACATTTAGCTTTTCATAAGTTATTAGAAATTCTTTAATAAACTCATCTTCATTTTGAAGGGCGTTGCACATTGCTTGCATGTTTAATTTTTCAACATATTCGTGCTGTTGGAGCCATCTTGGCGAACCAATCTCTGTTACATCAAAAATCGACAATGACTCAACGTATGCTTCAGCTTCTGGAGCCAAAAGGACTTGATTTTTGTCCATTGTCTGTGATGAAAGCAAGAAATAAAATTACTGCAGTCGTAATGTCTCCTAATAAATGTAAGTTAATACTTCAAAGTACTTTATACTACCAATTCGGGAAAAGATTTTACTAACACGACAAGTAACATTAAACATTAAGTATCCATGACAACAGCAAACTTAGCATCAACAAGTCACCATTCCGAAAATATTATAAACATTGCTAAATCTTTAATTAATTGATTATCTTTTTATAATAAATTGAAAAAAATTATATTTTTTTAAATTTATTTACCTTTTTTTTAAAAACTAAAAAACTAGATAATGATCGCTATATTAAATATTGTTTTGCCCATCCTTATTTTTTTATCAGCTTCACTTTTGTCCGCTGTTGTTTTTGTGATAAATTTATTTTTTTGTGGCTTAAGTTAGCGGTTTTTAGGTCTCAATTTATTAATTTTTAATTATTACCCAAATTTAAATGAGTTAATTATATAATTATAACATTAGTTAGGGCCGATTTTCTTTGCTGAAAGACACATTAGAATCTAATTTACAGCCGAGCAAACAAGATGGATGTCGATGATTCGAATTCGGTCAGTCAGATGAAAAGGTACCGAAGCGAGCCCTTCCTCTTCAAGAACCCCAACCCGCCGAACCTCAGGAAACAACATTCCTTCCAACAAGATGAAGACTCGCAGAGGTTTCATATAATTAATATAATAATAATTTCTATGAAAATTTTACTTTTATAATTTATATTTTATTTATTTTTTAATAAAGTTCTTTATTTTATAATAGTAGTTTTTAAAATTAATTATTAAAAAATTTATCAAAGTTTTTTAATTTAATTAAAGTTTAGACTTTAAAATATATTAGATTTCTTTAGTAGTAGTGAGTAGTCTCTTCCCTAACTAAAGCTAAGGTTTAGCTTTTTCTTTTAGTATGAGAAGTTTAAATTTGAATTTATAGTTAATTATTAAAAAAAATTATAAGAAAAATAATAAAGAACAGTTAATACTTTTCTTAATGTTTTAATAAAACTAATTTTTTATTCTTTGAATAAATGAATCTGTTTGTTTCTTGTTTATTTGTTTGTTGGTTTGTTTGTTTGCTTCTTATTGACTTACTTACAAACACCTTAACTTTTAACTTTCAAGTGACTCACTTACTTTAACTTTAAATAACTTTTACCTTTACTTAGTTTTTTTTTTGTATTTTTTGATGAAAATGCGATTGTGATCAATTCAGATTAGATTTAAATTTAATCTTAATCATTTAATATTTAAATTTTTATTATGAATATTAATTAATTAATTTAATTAATTAATTAATAAATAAGATAAACTATACAATGTGCAGCATTAATTAGTTACTAAATTCTCCAGTTATAATACTGAATAATCAGGGTATTTTGTTTAATAATCATAATTAATTGATCAATTATTTACTGATAATTATAACTAATTAATTCATTAATTGGTGAGCATTAATGAGCAGTCACAGTGCTAAACAGAGAAACAATAAAAACCCTGTTCATTCATTAATGTTTAAGTGCGTGAATAACTATTAATTATAACTTATTTAGTATAATTAATAATAATTATAATAATAATATAAAATATTAATTATATTTATAATTCATTACAATTATTAATTATTAAATAATTATTAATTATTATATAATTATTTATTACATTTGTTAGTCCATTTCCATTGAATCGACCTCAATTACTGGGCAGAAGGTTCCGCACAAGTCAAGTTCATCTCACTCCATCTGTTGGTTTTTGTTTATTTTGTGTGTGTGTGCGTGCGTGTGTGTTGTGTGTGTTCCTGTTTGTGTTGAATTTGTTTCTTTGTTGATGATTGTTGTAATTTCTTTTGTAGCAAACTTTTATTAGAAAAAAAAGTTTAAATTATTGCTCTTCGTGGCAAGCCTTTGTTGCTGACTGCATTTTATTTCTAGCAAGCTGAGTGAGAAGACACATTTCATGTTTTAATCATATTTTTTATTTGGCTTTTTTCCATTTTTATTATTAATGGTTGAAGCAGACGCAACAATTATAATAATAACTGCCAAAATAATGACCCCAAACAACATTAAGAAATAAGCAAGCAACAACATCAATGCTGTCCAACAACAATTCAACAACAACATCAACAACAACATCATCAATAACAACACCACCAACGACAACAGACAATCAATAAGATTCCATCAAGATTGAATCAAATAAAACTCGAGGAGACCATAGATAAGTCAGATATAGAAACTGCACATGAGAGGTTTGCTTGTTCTATGCTGTTTGTTCTTTGTGAACTGGTCTATTCGTTCTTTGTTTGGTTAAGTTCTTTTGTCACTGTTATTAACTATTTTCATTTGGTATTTTTTCACGTTGAAAATGTTGTTCTCGTGGTTCGTTGTTTTTTAATTAGCTGTTTTTTGATTTCAACATTTTTCTCTTTAATATTCATATCCTCATTAATATCGATATTCTACTCATGAATATTAATATCATGTTCATTAATTTTTATATGTTACTTCATCACAGGGAAGTTCAGTCATCACTTTGCATAAATCAGTCATGGGATGACTTCTCATTGGTTAGCTTTGTTGTCCAGTTAGACTCATTGGCATGCATTCATTAACATATCTTGCTTTAATCTTATCATCAAATTGTTAAATTGTATGCACCGAATGAAATGTCAAAATTAGGAAGACAGCGAGTCGATGTTGATTGACAGCATGCTTGGAGGGGGAAGTGGAGGAAAGAAGACCCCAACATCGTCGTCGTCACAAGAGCCACTTCTGATTAGCACGAATTGTTTTCTGTCGAACCATCAAATGAGCACCCAATCTCCAACCAGGGTTGGCAAGCAGTGCTACTCCCCCTCACTTCAGCAACCAATCAAGGACAACTCCTTCATCTCGACAAGTCCTCATTGGTCCGTTTGAAACTATTTATATTTTTTTTTTCATCATTGTTATCATCAACAGCAACAACAGTAGTAGCAGTAGTGGTAGTAGAATTAGTAGTGGTAGTAGTAGTAGTAGTAGTAGCAGCCATAGTAGCAGTAGTAGTAATAGCGTGTTATTATTATTATTATGTTGATGATGAAGATGATGTCAACGCTGATGGTGGTAATAATTTATAAACTGCAGTAACAGTTTGAGCCCAGTGATGTTCAGACCCAGCCCCCTCTGTGCCACCAAGAGGAAATGTTTGTCACCTCATTATTACCATTATTGACGTTTTGATTTTTTTTGTGTGTTATCGTCATCACATTTTTAAAATCATTTTGTAATATTGTCTTGTTGGAGTTTCTCTGTCCGTCAGATTGTGATTTTTAATGAGTAATAATTTTGAAAAGTTATCATTGCTCTTTTTTTTCACCAATCGTCATCTCCATCAATGGTTGATCATGACACCCAGAAGTGCCATCACCAACCTCTACGTACATCATCATTGACGTCAGTCACTGCTTCATCATCGATCATCATTGTTAACATTATCTCATCAGCATTATCATTTTTTTTCCTTCATCATCATTGTCATCGTCGCCGTCATATTTTTCATCATCCTCATCATCATCGTTGTCATCTTCATCATCGTATTTTTCATCATCGTCGTCATCTTCACCACCACCACACACGCAGATGATCTGATCGAGGGCAGTACCACCACCGCCAACTACATCACTCCTGCTAAAAGATTCTTCCCATCACCATCATCATCACCATCGTCATCATCATCATCATCTAGTCTTCCGTCACCGACGTCTTCGTCATCCTTAGCTTCATCGTCGTTGTTATCATCGTCGTCATCATCTTCATCATCGTCTGCAAAGTTGGGAATTTTAGTTAAAGAGTTTTCTTATTATTATTTATCATTTTTTATTTTTTTTTAATTTCTTTCTTTTCTTCAATTTTATACCATCTTGTATTAGATATTTTGTGCAATGATTTTATATTTTTCAATAATTTTGTGTGTTGTTGTTATTATTATTATTATTTGTTATTAGCGTTAGCTACAAAGATCATTTTAAGTGATTTAAATTCATTACAGCTCCAAAGATTCAGGTATGCTGAGTGATGATCAGCTCATGTCGTCATCATCATCATCGTCGTCGTCATCATCAGTTTCAACGTTATCAGATGAGCCAATGATATCTCCAGCCTGTTCCTCGTCGTCGTCATCATCATCACTGTTCCTGGCACCTCAGTCATTTCCACACTCACAGTCATCGTCATCATCGTCGTCATCATCGTCATCTTGTCTGCTCACTTTAACAGCTCCCACCCCAGTCTACACACATGGAATGCAGTTTGATGATGATGGTGATGATGGAAATGTACCAACATCATCATCATCATCATCATCATCTCACATCTCACTTTATCATCAACATCGTAATTAATTAATTAATTAACTATGCTGCATTTTTATAAGCCAGACAAACCTTTTTCCATCTAAGTTTTTTTAATAACTCTGTGTGCATATGTGTGTGTGTGTGCGTGTGCGTCTGTGTGCTTTTGTGTGTGTGCGTGCGTGCGTGTGCGTGCGTGCGTTAGTTGTGTACGTGCACAGTTGATATTAATGATTTTTTAGGATTGGTATCTTCTGCCATGACGTCACGTCAGTAACGATTTGGATATATCTCTGTAGTGAGTAATAATCTTCATCTGCCTCTGAAATCCTACAGTCTGAAATTTCTTTTCAAATTTCGGTTTTGTGAACGCTGTAATTACACTATATTATAATAATTATATTATTGTTAATTAATATTATAACCTTTGGTGAAACTTATAATGATAATGTTTTTCCAATTTCTTTGCTCTTTAAGCCTCCTGAACTTCGCTTATGATTAAATAATTAATTTCATTAATTTAAAACAACTATTCAGTTTCTTCATCAGTTAATACTTACTACATCTTCAGCAGTCTGACTTCTATTGAGTTTTTGCCAAGAGAATATCTCAGTGCGTCATGCATTTTTAGTTGCAAGCAGTTTAAAATGAATTTTTTTTGACACAATGTCGTGTTGCATACCTTTTTAAAATATTTTTTGATAGATTAGCTATTTATTTATAGACTGTATACGATGGCTTGTCTGTGTGTGTTTATGTGAGGAGTGTATAGGTAAGAAAGAAAAAAAGATTGTGGTGTGTGTGTGTGTGTGTGCGCGCGCATGCAAACCATGTTTATGTATGTATGTGTTGAAATAACCATTCATAAAAGATAAAAATTTATTTATTTATTCATCAAAGTAGCTATGCAAGTTGTGTGTGTGTGTATGTGTGTGTGTGTGCGTGCTACGTTTAAAAGCGCGAACACAAAAATGTTTTTCGTTAATATTTAACTTGAATTTGTACAGTTCTTTAATTCAAAGTTTATCTGATGTTTGTTTTTTAATATTTATTAATATATTTGTAGTTTTAATATGTTGTTAGTAGTTTCATGATTCGTCACTTTGTATCAATTTATTAATAATTTAATTATTTAAATTCTCAATTAATTAATTAAATAAATAATTAAGTAGTAAATAAAGTTTGTTTTTCTTTATTTCCTGTTTATTTATGTATTTTAAATTATTTATAAAAAATGTTGGATTGAATTTAAGTTCATTCAATTCAGTCAGTTTCGGGCCGAATGATAGAATATGGCACCGTGAACTCTTCATTTCTTAAAAATAATTTTAAAATTATTCCAACTAAGATTTTATTGAAAATCTTCTTAACGTGTGAACGGTAGAAACCGTTTAATCGGACCATATCAGAATTTGTACAAATTAATCAAATCGAGTTGCTGGTCCAGTCCTACTCCCTGCTAGCAAAATCTGGTCTCTTTTGATGATGTAGCGTGTTTTTTAAAAGCAATAACATAGCGCGGTGGTTGTTACTGGAGGCACCGTTGGAACGAATATGTTTCAAAAGTCAGTAGTACATTTGTCTGATTTATTTATTTGTAACACATTATTTCTAAAAAGAAAGATAGATGCTATGACTCGCGCGCAAGATCGGCGCCTGTTCGTCATGTTTGACGCGTCTTGCTTGGAAAAGTGTGCATTTAAAAAGTTGCGTGTCTTCGTCTTTATACGAAACTTCGAAAGAAAGTGATGTCTGTGCAAGATAAATGGATGGTAAACTTTTTCAAACTTAAGAACTAGAGAATTTTGATAATATATTATATAATAATTATAAAGAGTAAATAATTATATATTATAATATAATATTATATATATCCATATGTTAAACAGAAACAACACATTCGACATTTTGAAAGTTCTCAAACGATGTTAAACATCAACATTCAGTCAGAAGATTTTATAAAAATGAACAAAAGACGCTAATTTTTTTTTTTTATTATCTCCAATCTAGAGGAAGATCACGAAAACGCATGCAACAAAGTTGATCGCAGATTACAACACCTCTGAATGACGAACGCACCAACACTACCAACAACATCCTCAACAACAACAACATTAACAACTGAACTTTTTAAATTAATGTATATGTATGATAATTGAAATATATAAATGCAGGATGAAATTCGCGCCAAAACAAACGACTATACATATATAAATATATACATATGTGTGTGTGTGTGTATGTTCTTGTGTGTGTGTGTGTGTGTGTGTGTGTGTGTGTGTGTGTGTGTGTGTGTGTGTGTGTGTATGTATTTAGCGATTAAATGGTTAAGTAATGTAGTAGAAACGTGATCGCCTGACTATTTATTAAATACGTCACGACATAATCATTATTAATTAGTTAAATATTGAAACATTGTAAATGCACGTACACACACAAACTAACACACACGCCGAAAGAATTTGGTCATGTAATATTTGTCTATAAAAATATTCTAAAATTACAACCAATGAATTTGTTATTTAGTTAAAGTAAATGTATAATCGAAAAATAAAAAGGAAACGGGTTGAAAATTTAAAGTGACATATCAACGAGTAGCGTTTATTGCGGAATAAAACCCCAAAGTATTTTAACAGCAGCAACATCTGGTCGTTTACATGAAATAGATTAGTCTCTTAAAAAATTTAAAATGTCTATATATTAAACGTCAATTGATTCGTACAGAAAAACATGAGATGAGTAACAGTCGTCTAGTTTTAACTGACGACGTATGCATGCACCAAAACTTAAATTTCAAATGTCAATTGACAACTAAAGCTAAGAGATACCATACAATATAAACAACTAATTAACATACGGAAATACATCAACACACACACACACACACACACACACACAATGTATGTATGAAGTTATGTTAAAAGTTTTATGTACGTAGCGAAAACAACATTAGCGAAACACGTTGATGAGTCAGCATGTGACGACACTTTAAGAATGAACAGGCATATACAAAACTACAGTGATTAACTCCCCAAACAAATGAACCGCGGATTTGAACTGATTCTCACTAATCAAAAAACTTCAACATTAGAAGTAAAGTTACTCTTGAATCCATCTCAGAAAAAACTGCTGATATATCATGTCTTTACATAAATACATACATTACAAACATACATACAATATATAAACAAACACACATACATACACACACACGCACACGTACATACACATGCACAAACACATATATTACTTCTTATATAAATAAAATTAACAGTCATCATTCAAACAGTTATCAGTTGACCCTTCTATATACCACATGTAAAGCAAACTTGTCTTTACATTCAACTCTCAGTATAGTGTGCCGTGAACTAAACAAACAAATAAGAACAGATAACGTAAACATATATGCAACAATGAACCAATTAAAACATTATGCACGTACAACCCAATCAATTATGTAATCGATTAGTTAATTAACTAATAATTAAATGATTAAAATAAATGACACATACAATTTTCGTATTAGCTTCATCAAAGAAATGTGATAGAATCGAAACGAGATGAACAGGTTGAAATTATGAACATTGAAATGTCATGAACCAACCAAACAAAGTTTAACTACATTAAAATCTTCGATCACACTAAAAAATTGACCATAAGAAACAAGGAAAGACTCTTCAAATACATAGAGATTTTTAAAAAAATTATGCTTAATCCGATTTCATTAAGTATCTTATTTACCGTTTATACAAGTTTATTTTAAAGCCTGTTTTTTGACAGGAACGGAATGACTGAAATAAAAAAAAATGAAAATAATTATTGCTAACTCTAAAAGCAGTTGCAATTAAGTACCCGTTTTTCGTATCAGTTAAGTTTTGATTCATTAAATACATCATTAAAATCGTTGTCGTTAAAGGGCAGCAGGGTTGTTAACAATACCCAAAATTTGTATCGCCATAATCGGCTTAAAAATATATTGCTGATACAAACACCGACACTCTTTTTTAAGAGTACTACTGCCGACGAAACCAAAACTTTGTTCCTTAACTGACAAAAAAGGAACTATTTTTTAATCCGCAACAATGCATTCGGTAGTTAAAACATAACGTAAAAATGATTTTGTGGCGATAATTTGTTTGAACCATCAAATTTAAAGCAAGTAAAGCTAAATATTTACGTCCAGGGTCGGATTTTTAGGTCTGGAGGCCCTGGAGCAACAAAGAAGCGAAGGCTCCTCACTTTTTCAGAATATAAAGAACAGTATTTTGCCAAATCTTACATAAATTCATTGCCAATAAATAAAAATATTTCAGCAAAAATAATGCATAATTTTCATTTTATAAATCAACTGCCTTTTGAAAAAGTTGTTGAAGTAAAGATGAAAGTTTTTTAAAGTTTATTTTTAAACCCCAACAATTTATTTCAAGATATAAGGAACAGCGGTGACAAAACCCGTGCTTTTAAAAATGAAAATTCAAAAAAACTACTAAACTCAATCTTAAATTTCAAACTTATTTAGAAAACGTCCCAAACTTCTAAAATTGAAGTGACCCTTAATAAAAACATCCATCTACCTGACGTACAGAAATAAAAGTATCGGCTATATCAAGTTGGATACACGGCGTCAAAAATAGTGCCGCTACCTAACCCACCGATACAATATCGGCAATAGCGATACTTCGATATTAACAACCCTGATGGCAAGTAATGCTAAAAACGGACGCGCCGAGATGTAGTGGTTGAGGCGTCTGCTACTGCTGCACCACGCTCGGATAGATCCAAACAAGTCCAGACAAGCACAGTGCCGTTCCCTCAGGTAGACTTGTGAATGTTTAACGTAAAGTTAATTGAAAAAAAGAAAATTGAATGCATTATTTATGATTAAAGGACTGTTTGTAGGAACCTTATTTATAAGTCTCTTCCGTATTTTGTAAAGTCTGTGGTTTCTTAAGTCAGAGAAAATAGATAATAATAATAATATTGCTGGCGATTGTAATTGAATAAGCAATTCAAGTAACAAGATGTTAAAAAATTAGAAGAAACGTCTTACAAGATAACAGATAACCAACCAACGGGCAGGCCAACTGACCAGCCAACCAACCACTAACTTTAATGTTTGCTAAATACAAAGGGATGTAGAAATGATAAAGTAAGCTTATCAGCCTACGCTAGATGTTATTTTATTCTAGAAACTCAATTCAGTTAACATTCGAGATTTACCAGTCAGGTTATTTTTAGGTGTCTGACTAAGCCAAGTCAATATAATAATAATATATAATAATAATAATAATAAACAATAACAATAAAGTTAATCTCCCACTGCAGTCTAATAAACTGCAGCCTGATTACGACTGAAAAGCCTGGCGAGCAGGTAAAAAATAACTTCAAACTATGATTCAAATTGACGCTACGTCAAAGAAATTTCCAAAGGAAATCGTGTCCTAGTGGAAAAGACATCAACGTACAATTCTCACACCCCACTCACGATGAAGGAGCTATATCAGTTGTCCGTTAGGTTCGTTCGGACCTTCTATGTATCTAACAAAAATGATTGAATACTGTTAAGGTCATCCAAAAACGTCCGTCCAAAAATATTATAAGCAAATGTTTAGGTTCTCTGGAACAAGAATTTTAAAAAGATTTAAACATGTTTATATATGATGACTAGAACGCGTTTGTATGAAAAAACACACACACACACATACACACACACACATATATATATATAATATATATATACATATACTTATATAGAAATTTGAACATGTTTATATATGATGACTAGAAAAAAACACACACACATATACACACACACATATATATATATATAATATATATATATATATATAATATATATATATTATATATATATATATATAATATATATATCATCCACACACACTCACACGCACCACACGTTTACACACACATGTATATATAAGCAGCCAACAGAGAAATAAAAATTACTAAAATTTTGTATTTTCTATGACAGCGTACAGAAAATGCGTGAAACACGATTGAAAATTATTTGAAATATTCGCAAGAAATTATGCAAAAAATATAAGCAGAGTCAAAAAATAAATTAAAAAAAACTCTTTATGACTGAACGTTTGATGCTGAACGATATTTACTGAACGTGACAAGACAGTTAAAAAGAAAAACAAAAGAATATAATTCACAAGAATAATTTAAATATGTAACCAAAAAAAATTTTAAATACAAAAAATATAAACTATCAAAAAATGAAAGTCGGAGTTATTATTTTAAATTATTTAGAAGGTTAAGTATCTAGATAGAAATCGTCCATTTTAAAAATTATACGTAAAGATATAGCAATGTTTGGCACAAAAAATACCAAACGATGTTACAAGTTAAAATGGTCCCAGTAAAAATAAATTAAATTATTTTAAGTTATCCGCTTGTTTGTTGTCTTTTTCGTTTTTTAAATTAATCTCTGAATAGAACTAGGAGATCTTAGGTTGTACAGTGAAAGGAACGAATTGTGAGACACTTATATAAAGGGATTTTTCAATTTTCTAATTGAGATATTTGTTTGAAATGTGTGTGTGTGTTGCATGTATGTGTGTGTGTGTGTGTGTGTGTGTGTGTGTGTGTGTGTGTGTGTGTGTGTGTGTGTGTGTAAAGAAGCGTTTGTTGGTACGCACGATGACTGCCGATTTGTTTCTATGCCAGCAAATGTTCAAACACATGAGAGTGAGAGAGAGAGAGAGGAATGTATCTATCACACTACGTTTTAGGAATTAAAAATCTGTAAAATATCAGCCCAGTAGAGGCAGTGCAAGTGTGGATGAAATAAATTTGATAAAAAGTTGATTGAATGTAGAGGAGGCATGCTACGACAACCGCAAATAAAATAACCCTTCATAGTAGTTAAGCGCATGGAATGACAAGTAGAAAAACATTGTATAACAAACTTGCGTTGAACTGACACGACAAGCTGGTCTCTGTCCAAAAATAAAAATTCAATTTCTTACATTTAAATGTAATATATTTAAATAAAGTACTCTCAAAACATGCCGAACTCCTAAAACTCCTAAAAGAATGGCTTTATTAACGCTTTCATTGTTTTGTATTCACGATGATTCAACCAATTATTATCCACAAACAATGGTAAAGTGATTATAAAAGGACAAGAACGAAGCTGGTATGAAAGAGCACCATTACGTTAAAAGTCTTCACCAATCTCGAAATTACACCATTACATTAAAAGTCTTCACCAATCTAGAAATTACACCATTACATTAAAAGTCTTCACCAATCTCGAAACGCTCTCTGAAGATGCGTTCAACAAAAAGCTCCTTGGATGAAAAATACCCACTCGATAGCGTCAGCACATTCAAATCAAATTTTATTCAATCAATCCAAATTAATAATAATTAGGTAATGATTAGGAGACCAAAGCTAAAAGAAAACAAAATTCTTGTGTCGCAGGCCACCGTTCACAAATTGTTCATTCTAGCACAATGTTTAAGTAAATTTATAATTCATGACAAAATTAACATAATGCACATTACCGCATCATCAGCGCTAAGACATGAAGTCGGGTGAATTTTGGTGAAGTCTTTTTGTGGTAGTAGTAATTACATAAAAAGCGTGCCAACAGGAATTCAAAATATCGGTAAGCCAGCCACAAAACTGACATACATACCCACATACACACACAAATCCACACACACACACACACACACACACACACACACACACACACACACACACACACATACATTATTATTGTGATATTTTGCTGAATAAAAGATTGTTTCAATTCAATCCAATTCAATACACACACACACATACACACACACACACATACACACACACACACACACACGCATACATACTTATAAACATACATGGCTCGTTGTTTGAATTTGTTGTTTTAGCTGTTATTTCTGCTTTCTTCTCGGTTAAAAGTAGTTATTTAATGTTAACAATTTCGTAAATTGCAGTAGTAAATTTTCTAGAATAAGCTGGTATTAAATTTAACTCATAAAATTTTGTTTTTTTCGTTAAATTTGATAAAGTTTTGTTTCGAATTATTGTCACGTGATTGAATAAATTATCTGCTGTTAAAAATCTGGCTGAGGCTAATTATAATATTAGATACAACAAATACAATGAGCTCGCGTTACAGCTGTACGAAGTGTGCAAAAGTAGTTCCGAGTAAGGAGTTGTTGATTTGTGCATGTTGCAAGTCTTGCGCTCACAACAAATGTGAAATTAATGATGACATTTTGGAAATTTTGAAAAATTCTAAAGGATTAAAATGGTTTTGTCACCGTTGTTTTGATTTGTCATTGGATATTGGTTCTTTAGCTAAATCAGTGGACAATACGAAAAATCAAATTGTCACTCAGCTGGACGTATTAAACGAAATATATATGAAAATAAAACTTGATATTGATAACATAAAAGTGAATATTGAACGCAATGAGTCAAGGCTAGATCAACTTGATCGTTTTGATACAACTGTGCGTGATGGACTTGAGACATGCAAAAACGAATTGAAAGAAACGTATGCTGGCATCGTTAGTAAAGGGGGTGGTGCAAATATTGACGCCATCAGGAGTGAAGTAAAATCGTTTCAGAAAGCTCTGGATGAGGCAAATGAAATTAAAGAGAGGGAATCAAACCTGCTGATGTTTCGTCTATCGGAGAGTGATGAT